AAGAACCACAAGATACCGTAAATGAGAGGTATGTATTAACTATCACTATTCATCTTCGTTATAAGGCTATAAGTTTGGCTCTAAAAATGCTAAAAGGGTCCCTTAACAAGCATTATATATTCTTGAGTTGAAGAGGGTAGATAGCAAAAAAACATTTTGTTTTGAACCTATAGAATAAGATAATTATGAGTTTAGAAGATTCTATGTTGGATATAGAGAGAAAATAACGAGAAAAAGGATTTGAGTGTACATAAGTAAAAAAACAAATGGTAACATTTACTCAAAAACAAGTTTTGTATGTGTTTTTTTACTAGATTTGTGGATTAAATTGCATAGTATTTTTAATTTACCTCATCTTATTGTTGATATTATCGCTGAATGTTAGAGGCGGAAGTCGATACTATTTTTAGAGGGAAGGGAAAACATATTTTTTCTCTAACTATATCACAAAGAGGATAAGCAATGGCATCAAATGCTAGAACAATTACAAAACAAACTATTAATCATATAGTTTTAAATGCAAAGAAGACCAAGTTGAATCATGAAGGATCTTCTACCATATAGGAATATTTTGAACTACTCGATTCAATGATTTTTTGGCCCACCAAAGCATTATGATAACTTGTGAATATGATTTATTTTTTGGAATATTATGATTTTGGATATGCATTGTGCATATTATGATAAACAATATATTAACAGGTTGTATGGTGTTTTCTTTAGTGGTATGAGAATATTTTATTTTATTTTATTTGGATTTAAATATTCAAACTTTACCTATTGAATTGATATGGATGTTTACCTTAGTAAAAGTTGACAATATTGCTTTCATCGAGATATATGTTTCTTGAGATCAATACATCATATAGGTTACTTGTTAGTTTCTAAATGATGCACCCAAGAAGGATTGTTATTGTGTTTTGATACTTGATTTTAGAATGCTCATATATGTTACTTGTATCCATTTGTCCGCTTCATCTTAATGTCGATTGCTAGAGATATTTTTATATTAGGTTTTGGTTTCTGTCATCGCTCTGCCAAGTTAGGTTAATTTGGCATTTAGTGACATTTTTTGGTTAAAAGGATCCCATAAAATAAGCATTTATCTCAATTGAAATGTTTTTATAAATCCATAATTTTAAACCAATTAATTACTAAAGAAACGTTAAAATCAATACACCATTGAATAATTAAACATCTTGCATCCCAAAATTTGAGTATAAATTAAGAACCTCATATCCAGAGTACAAAAAAGGGATGCATATTTAAATAATAGTACTGAAATAAACAAAATTTCTTCTAGTATGTAAATTTCTTCTTTAAATACGACTTTTGAAAATTGAAGCAAATGATGCTCAAGCTCCAATAACTTCATCCTCCCTCTTGGCCATTGTTTCATCAGCAAGCCTATCATCTTCATACTAATATCTTCATACTAATATCTTATGAATAGTCACTATGAACTTGCATATGAATAGTAAAAAAAGGAACACCTTAATCGGTATCAATTCATCGACACTCAAAAGCTATTCCAATGAGCATGTTGAATGATGTAATTTGAAATTTTTTAGTAATGTGTGATGAAAATATAAAACGATTGAAATATGCCTCTATTTTTTTTTAAGATCAAATTTGAGAGCCTTCAAGATCTTGACTTTTCAAATAAAGACATTTTATAATAGCTATATGCGAGTTGTTTCCATGATAAACGGTTTAGATCACATGATGCGACCAAGAAATGCAAACAGCGCGTGTTGTTTTTTCCATGACAAGCATCTCCTAATAATATTCATCATAATTCAAATAGTATAATTTATTATATTACATAAGGCATTATATAATTTAAAGTGACTATGCTAACATGCTCTTCGATCATACGGGAGGCAACATATATTCTAATAACACAAAATTTATCATTGTTTCTAAAAAAAAAAACGCTTTGTAATAGCTTTCACTTTTCCTCCTACCTCCTTCGAGACAAGCTTCATGCTTTGCATTTGAATTTTCATTCTAATAATTTTAGATCTCATGTTATCCATTTCTTCAATCAACTCCACACAATTACGGCCTTCTTCAATCAACTTCTAAAATCCATAATTATCCACATGAATATTTCATTTAAACAAAATATTAAACACGTGCCGCATCCTTGTAACAAGATAGAAATTTCAATTACCAAGAATAACAACTTTCAATATGGGTAGCAAAAGAACTTCTTCCCTAGGTTCGTTTGAGTTCGTAAAATATATAAGCACATCTTTATCTTGTGTTTGCATAAAGGCATCTTGAAAGTTGTAGAATATAAGCTACTACCTATAGAAATTTTAGTTTCCATATGAAGAAATTTAGTGGAAATAGAGAAATTATAGGTATGGGTTTTGGATTTCAAATTTTGTTACGATAAGTGAAATGGTTGAAGGTTTGTCAAGGTTTATGAGTTTTTTTTCCAGTTTCAATTGGGTTTGCGACAAAAGGAAGGGCCATAATTTGTCAAAAGATCGAAGAGGAATGGGTTTGAGTTTTACAATCGAAGGATTAAGAATTTTTAGGAATTCTATTGGCTTTATGGTAGAGGGAGGTGTCGGGGTTTGTTGAGGTATTAAAGAAGATTGGGTTTGGGTTTTGCAATCGAAGGATTTGGAATTTTCAGTAAATCAATTAGGTTTATGATAGAGGAAGGGTTTAGGGTTCATCAAGGAATTGAAGAAGATTGGGTTTGGGTTTGCGATAGAAAGAGAGGTTAGGGTTCATGAAAACAAAAGGAGAGATCAAAGTTCATCAAGAGATTAAAAAAGATTGGGTTTGGGTTTCGCAATGAAAAGAATTAAGGATTTTTAGGAATTCAATTGGGTTTAGATTTGATTGACATGTAGTTCATATTAAAGAGTAAATTCCTCATATGAGCCACGTGGAATCCTATGTGACATTTATATCTTGTTGTCATCCTATCTCTCACACCACGTCAATTGAAAACAAAATTTAAGTTGAAAAATATACTCGATATGGTTACTAGAAGTTTACTCATGTATTTTCTATCCAAAATTAAAAAATATGCTAATATAATTTAAAAAACGGAAAGTTTATGATTTTTTGATACAATAAGCCATCTTAAATATTTACCTCCTATATCAATCTAATACATTTAAAGAAAATAATTTATCTAGGTGTAGACCTCAAGATTTAAACTCAAAAAATTAAAGGAAAAAACACACCTTTTTTTTTACCATTAGGTCAACCTCATAAAATTTAATATATTTATATTATATAAGACTAAAAAACTTATTACTTATTTGGTGTAAAATTTTTTTATTTTTTATTTTAATTTGTACATTTTAATCTTTTCTATTTAAGTGCATCAATTTGTAATTTTTTTTCCTATTTGAGTAGTTTAGTTAACCCTATATTGATGTATCTCGTTAACTACACACATAGTGTTATCATGTAGGCTATTTTCTCAAAAACATGACTCCTAAAAAACCGAGGAAAGAATTATAACTTATTCATATTCAAACACATCCTAATCCTAAACTAGAATAGCTCAAAAGCCCAACTAAATAGCTTGAATGTTAGTTTCCCTAACCTAACCCCATATATAAACAACTTTAGCACAAATCCTAATAGAAACCAAAGAGGCTTACATATATACAACCTTACTTAGGTGGTTAGGTGTGGATGCTATGGGGACTAGTTATGGTCGGTGGCAAGTTTCGAAGAGGGAGATGAGATTTTAAGTGTTGGTGTGGATAGTGAAATGTGCGCTTGGTTAGTTCATCATTATCGGTGGAGTGAGGAGGTTATTATGGATTAGGAGTTGTCAATGGAGAAAGAAGGTTGTTGGCATTGTTACTATTGAGGTCCGGGGAGAGGAGATAGTTGTTGGCTTTTTAGGACTATTGATCGGAGATGAAGTTGATGTGTGTGTGGTCGGTGGGTGGAAGAGAAAGAGAAGAAAGAAGATGGTGGTGAAGGTTGTTGCGATGTGGTGGTTTCTAATGAGGAAGAGAGAGAGAAAGAGAGAGGGTGACTCGCCTCTTTGGCTATCTTTGGGATTTGCACTAAGATTATTAGTGAAGAAAGGAGGTTGTTGACATAGCTACTATTAAGGTCGAAAAAGGGGAGATAGATGTTGTTTTTTCAAGACTGCTAGCTGGAGTGAAGTTGATGTGCTTGTAGCTTGCGGGTGAAAGAAAAAAGAAAAAGAAGAAGATGGTGGTGAAAGTTGTTGCGATGTGGTGGTTTTCGAGAGGGGGAGAGAGAGAGAGGTTGCCTCTTTAGTTTCTTTTGAGATTTGATCTAAAGTTGTTTATATATGAGGTTAGGTCGGGGACTCATGTTTGATTTGTTTTAGTTGGATTTTTGGATTATTCTAGTTTAGAATTGGATGGTGTTTGAATAAGATAGTTTATCATTACTTCTTCTTTTTTCCTAAGATGCCACATGTTTAGTAAAAAAACCTACATGACGAGTGCCACATTTGTAGTTAATCAACACATAATCAGTATAAAATTTATGCAATCACTCAAATAGAAAAAAATTACAAATTGATACATTCAAATAAAAAAAATAAAAAATTACACACTAAAATTAAAGAAAATAGAAAATTTTTATGTCAAATATCTAATAAACTTTCTTTGAAAAGACATTTATCTACTCGTTCATTTTTTTTTCTCTCCATTTTTTATTCTATTCAAAACCCTAAAATGTATTCGATCACCCTCCATAAAGTACCTTGATTTCACTAAATGTAGAGAACAGTTAAACTTTAATGCAAAAACGAAGGATCTAACTGTTTCCCTTTCTCATACCAACCAATAGCGGTAACACACATACAGCATGCCACATTAAAGTCTCACCTGTCTCCTAATCTCCTTTGTCCTCCTTCCTAATATAAACTTGCCTAGCTAAGCCATTGAGACAATACCATAGGCAGCTCCTCCTCCCCCTTTTCCCTTGGCAGCTCCTCTACCAACGCTCCATTTTTACTTCCATATTTTCCAAACATGGTTTTTTGCAAGGAGGATCAAAATCTGGTCTACAACATTAAACTATCATCTGTCGGGCCAGGTCGCATGACTGGTTCGGACGTGGTTCATGAGCCCAATGGCGTGGACTTAGCCATGAAGCTTCACTATCTAAAAGTTGTGTACTTTTTCAGTAGCCAAGCATGCCGAGGGTTAACCATCATGCACATTAAGGGAAGCATGTTTTATTGGCTTAGTGACTACTATACAGCTTGTGGCCGGTTCCGGAGGACCGAGGCCGGACGGCCATGCATGAAGTGTAATGATTGTGGTGCGAGGTTCGTAGAGGCGCAGTGTGACAAGACGGTGGATGAATGGCTAGAAATGAGGGATTGTTCTCTTGACAATCTTCTTGTTTTCCATTTACCGATTGGTCCTGAATTATCTTTCTCCCCTTCACTTTACATACAGGTAATTAATGTTTCAAATTTCATTATTTTATCATATTTATGTCAAGAATAATCCACTAGTTTTAATCTATGTTCATTTTGAAAATTCAGAACCTTTATTTCATCTTTTTATTTCCCGTTTGTAGTTAATATTTTCTTCCCAAATAGCTCCCCTAACATATCATAATTTTTACGCTAAAAAAACACATATCATAATTTCGTATTTACGTTATGCTACTATATGAAGTAGTCCGAAAATATTCCTATAAATTAACTTGTAATTTAACTAGAATTACGGCTTTATTTTTCCTTCGAATATATTCTAGTCAAGAAATAAACAGAACAGACCTGAAAGCCAGAGATTAGGGAGGACATGAAAAAGTACACCCAAGCATTTTACCGTTCTTCTGAAACATGGGACCTAAAGACTAAGAAGAACTAAAAAGAGCAAATAGTACCAAACATATTGAGCCATATTTTGCAATTATTTATTCATCTTACTGTCATTGCCAGTTCTATTAATTATGGGCCACCACAAAAATTCAAACAATGGAACTCGTTAAAGGAGATCATTACTTTAGTTGACTAAAATTTAATGAACACTGCATCCACCTAACTAACGTTGGTACTGTTACACAAACTATTAAATTTTTATTGATAGATCCGTCAAGTTAATAACCGGATAAACTAAAATCATTAAAACTCGAAGTTAGATTGTATATATATATATTAAAATGCATCTTTGTGTGAGTTAATCTGTCCTTCATCATGTTTAAAAGTTAAAAACAGTTTTATCTTCAAACCCTACTTTTTTTTCTGAAAGGTAACTAAATTCAAATGTGGAGGAATGTCCCTGGGCATAAGCTGGGCTCATATAATTGGAGATGTATATTCAGCTTCAGAGTGCATCAACAGCTGGGGCCAATTCCTGGCAGGTCTTAAATCTTATGGGCCTTTGAAAATCACAAAAACATCCACTTGGCTTGAAAATCCGAATAACCGATCAGTGGCTATCAAGGAACCCGTTTCTCTGAAACGGGTAGACCCGGTTGGTGACCATTGGGTAACTGCCAATAACTGCAAAATGGAAACATTTTCGTTTCATTTATCTGCTTCGCAAGTATCTCATTTACACTCAAAAATTTGGGGTGAAAATGGAATGGGCAAAATCCCATTTTTTGAGTCCCTATGTGCCATAATGTGGCAATGTATAGCCAAAGCTAAAGATGGGCTTGAGCCTAAAGTTGTCACACTTTGCAAAAAAGATCCCAACAACCCAAAAGATGGAATTTTGAGCAATAGTCAAATTATAAGTTCAGTCGAGGCAGATTTTTCAGTTGGGGACGCAGATTTGAAAAAATTGGCTATGTTGCTAGTTGATCAAGCCAGAAAGGAGAATAGCCAAATTGAAGTGGTGGTGGCAAAAGATGGTGGGGTGCCTGATTACCTTTTGTATGGAGCAAATTTGACATTTGTGGACTTAGAAGAGGCTCATTTTTATGGACTGGAATGGAATGGACATACACCAGAAGCTGTACGCTACAGCATCCAAGGTGTTGGAGATGAAGGAGCTGTTACGGTACTTCCATGGCCAAAAGATTCAGGCATGGATGGCAACATTGGAAGGATTGTGACGGTTACTTTGCCCGACAATGAAGTGGTGAAGCTCAGATTTGAGCTGAAAAAAAATGGGGTAATGCTTGAAGATGATCTTGAGTCTTGAATGACTACAAAGTTGATGGTGTTGATTAAATTGGTGCCTGAAATTAACAGTGTGTGTAGGGTTCAAGTTCAGTAAAGCTTCAGTTTACTTGGACCTGCATGTTGTCTAGTAATGTTGTCCTTTGTTACTAAAAAATAAATAAATAAATAAAAGATTGTCAAAGGTTTGGTTCTTTACGGTAATGAATTGTGGAGTAGGGACTGAAAGGGACAGTTGCTCTCCTAATTTTTTTTTTTAATATATAATAATGATTGCTCTCCTAATATATATAATTTTCCTTAATTATCTAGTAAAAAAAAGGCGTCAGTGATATTTATAAGGTTGAACAAAAATTATCAAATGGATTTTATAAATCAAATATAAAGATTATACTTGAAATATAAAGATTATAGTAGCTAAGGGTTATCATCGTCACGAGGGTATTGACTACTGAAAGGCATTTAGTCTCGTGGTTAAAGCCTCAACAGTTCGATATGTCCTTGCTTTGGCGGTTTCATATGGGTGGACTATCTAATAATTGGATGTGCATAATGCCTTTCGAATGTCAGCCTCAATGAAGAAGTATTTATGACCCAATCCGCGAGGCTTTGTTGATCCGCTGTTTTCTAATTATATTTGTAAACTACATAAATCACTTTATGGTTTGAAAAAAGTCACCATAAGTCCGATTCTCCTGTCTCTAGAATTTTTTACTTGCTTTTGGGTTTATGGGTTCAAAGACTAACTCATCTCTCTTTGTCTATCATATTAAGGCTTACAAAGTGTTCTAGTTTATGTGGACAACATATTGATAATAAGTAACAATCCCACCTTCCCGAAATCGAGTAATCGGTGCCTCAAATTCTCGTTTTGCAACTCGGAACCTAGAGGATATAGGCTATTTTTTAAGCATGGAAGTTGTCAAAACAAAGATCGGGATGATCTTGTCTCAACAAAAATATATGATTGATCTTCGAAGAGACGAGGTATGTCCTCATGTTGACTCGTTTCAAGTCCTATGCCAATCTCGTCCAAATTAACAAAAGATAGGAGCATAGTATTTACTAATCTCACATTGTCTCATTAAGTAGCTTGGTGTTGTATAGTATACTACTTTAACATGACCAGATATTTCTTAAACTATGAATTTCTTAAACTATGAATAAGGTTTGTCAATTCATGTATCATCCTTTTTTTATCATTGGATTATCGTGAAACATTTATTACGTTATCTTAAGCATACTCCTAGTCATGATATTCATATAGGACGGTCGGACAATTAAAATCTATCCGGTTTTTCTTATTCGAATTGGACTGGGTATTTAGATGACAAGAAATCAACCAATGGGTATGTTGTTTACACTAGGCCGAATCTTGTTGCTTGGAAATCATCCAAACAAAAAAGCGACTCGTAACTCTATAGAGGTAAAATATAAAGCGACTTGAGATTTGGCTATCGAATTCTCGTGGGTTACTTTGCTTTTAGGTGAATTAAGTGTTTCTTAATAAACCATCATTTCAAGCGAGGTCACCTCAAAATAGACTATCATCTCGAGCGAGTCACCTTATAATTGACCATCATCTCAAACAAGATCGTCTCATAATAGACCATCATTTTGGGTATAGTCGTCTAACAATAGACCATCATCCAGGTAGGATCGTCTCGTAATAGATCATTATTTCGAGCGATCACCTCGTAATAGATCATCATTTTAGGCGTGGTCATCTTGTAATAAACCATTATCTAGGTAGGATCACCTCACAATAGATAATCATTCGAGTAGGGTAATCTCATCATAGATCCTTATTTAAGATAAGGTTATCTAACAATAGACCATCATTTCGATCAAGGTTACCTCACAATTAACCATCGTATTTTACTTTTTAAGGTATGCTACCCTTGATAACAAGGTCATCGTATTTTACTTTTTAGGACATGTCAAAACAAGACCATCTTATTTTATTTTTTAGGACAAGTCGTCCTTGACAACAACGCCATTGTGTTTTACTTTTTAAGGCGAGTTGTCCTTGATAATAAAGTCATTGTATTTTACTTTTTAAGACAATCCACTCTTGATAACAAGGTCATCGTATTTTAACTTTTAAAACGAGTCGTCCTTGACAACAAGATCATTATATTTTATGTTTCGGGATAGGCCATCTTTGACAATCGGACCATTTTTGTCACTTGATTTACTTATTCTTTATAAGTTTACCGAGCAAACCCAATCCGAAGTTCACATTTCGGTTGACATTTTGCATTGTAAGCTTTGTAAATAAGAGGCAACTCGTAATAGCTCAAAATTTAGATTATATTTATTTTTTATTATTTTTTTGTATTATATTATTTTATTTTATTTAATTTAGCTATTTTTACTTTTAATTTCTTTTCATTTTATTTTTATATTTATTTTGATCTATTTTTACCATTATTGGCTTTATATTTAATTTTAGGAATTATCTTTTATTTTAAAAAATGAGGGGCTTTATGACATAATCAATTTATCAAAACCAAAAAAAAAAAAAAGTTCAAAAAAATATAAACACAAAAAAACCCATAAAATAAACAATCTTGAAAGAGATGATTAGTCGAGGGCATAATTGAAGGGAATAAGGACTAAAATTGAAAACAATCGGATTTAAAATTGAAAGTCAATTAAAAAAAAATTGAATGTGATGGCGGTGCAATTGAATGAAATTGGTACTAAAATTGAAAGCCAATAGAAGTGCCATTGAATTAAAAAAAAAAAAAAGGTATGGTTGCTAAGAATTAAAGTATCCATGGACCAAATTGAAGTTAGAGAGTGAACAACAAGACTAAAATTGATCGAATGACCTATCATTTATTGCAACCCAAAATCAATCTTCCTCTCCCGTATCGTTCATTGTCTTTTAGCAAAGAAGACAAGCTCATTCACAATCAAAATTCCTAGCCGGTACACGTGCTTCAACCACTACACCACTCGTAATTGTCATTGCAATTCACAAACCCGCAAACACCGTATATTTGTTTTCAATTTTTGCTCGTACATAAAAGAGCAAGAACACTAGGAATGTGTTCTTTGATTTTAATGCACAAAGGTTCCGATTGATTAGCAACAATCCTAGATAGAGGATGATTGGGTTTTAACTATAAATTGAGTCCTACTATAGGCTTTAAAGAGAGAAGGGGATATAGAGACGTAAGATTTTTGGGTTTTCAAGTTTCTAGGTTTAGGAAAACCAATCTAAGTCTTTGTTCTCTTATGTCCGAAAACTTAAATCCGTTAGTTCATTCCATTCCAATCTTAGGAAAACAATCTATTAGTGTTTTGGGTCATAAACCATCAACGAGCCTCATTCGGAGGGATTGCTAGGTTTATAAAGGTCAATTTCTTGGGTTTTTGAAGGATGAAATCTTCACTAGTCGAGGTAGGGACAATTAACCACTCACCCAAGCTAAGCTTCACCAATTGTATAACCAAGTAAATACCTTATCTCCCTTGTTATGTACTTCTAATTTCTTTAATTTTTCTCCTAGCTGGTTCAAGAACAACCAATAATAGTGACATAGTCATTGTCATCATGAAACCCCATCGGTGACCCATTTCTATTATGCTTGATTTATTTGAACAACTAATTGAAGGTTAACTCAAGTTTGGTTTAGCGAAAAGAGAGAGAGTTTATTGAGAGATCGGGGCTAGGATTTGGTGTTTTTCGAATAGGTTCAAATGAGATGAGTGGAGACGAGATGGATTAAAACTAAAGGAAATGAAAATAGAAGGAAGAAACATTAAGGCCGGGAAGATTAAATCCTTAGGCCTAAGTGTTTTGATTTTTTGTTTTTAGGGCTAAACCATGGAAGAGACTTAGGAGAGAAGGGGTTGGGCCATATGGAAAAAAGAGTGAGTTAGGCTTAGCCTAGCCCTACCCAATGGGTCGAAAGCCCATCTGGCCTAAAGGCCCAATAACCCTTATTTTTTTCTCAATTTTATTTTCTTAGCTATTTCCCTAGGTAAATTATGTCTAAAATTTCCACACATGTTTCTTATTTTCATGCCTTCGATCTTAGACTCATATGTATGTGTTGGGTTTTTATCTTTTAGGTTTTGGTAATCTAATTTTATATTTATTTAATGTTTATTATTGCTTAAATAATTGTTCGTTTAATTGGGTAATTAATAGGTGGTTGGATCATCAAGTTTTTTTAATTTTTAGGATCGATGAAAATTCCCCATCGACCTTGAAAAATATAAAAAAAACAAAAAATAAAAAGAAAATGATAGAAAAAAAGAAACATAAAAAGGAAAAGAACAAAAAATACATAGAAAATTACTAGGTTAATTGTAATAAGTCTTTTATCCGATAAGGACTAATATTATCACTCGATTAAAATCGATCACCTTAGTAATTAGATCGTTCTTTGACATACCGATTATGTCAAGACTTAAACTAGATCCAATATTGAATTGACAAGACTCTTGGAGATGGAGTCCAATGATCGATTCAATATGATGTCACAAAAAACAATAATCTAGCTTAGATAACAAACTTGAAAGTTGACTAAACAATAATTTGGCAAAATTAAAAATTTTTAGAATCTCAACTTTTAAGATTAAACCAACATGGTATCTTTCCTCGAAAAAATGTCTTTGGGTGATTGATATCTTTTTAAAGGCATAACCAACTTCTTACTCTAGGATCTTTAAACCATTGCCATTTTTAGGTCTCTTAGTTTCTTTAATACTAGGTGATAATTTCAAAACATGGTTTAACTCAAATCCTTAGTAAATAAACAAAACAATGCACTTTTTAATAGAATTATTGGAAGTTCCCTAAATGTTGAATAGAAACAACATCCATCATATGAAGCAATATGGGAAGCTCCCCACATATCACTAAAAATTAAATATAAAATGATAGTACTTAAATTTTTAGAGAAAGACCGAGATAAATGACGTGTTTTTCTCAATGGATAAGATAAGCAAGAGCTAGACAATTTCCTAGAATTTGATAAAGAATTATTTTTTAAAATAAGATTCAGTACTCTATTATGGGGATGACCCAATTAGGAGTGCCGGATCTAAGCAAAGATATAGATGGAATGAGCTTGAGGAGTTGGATAGGTTGGACAGGAGATAGGGTATAAAGATCGGTATCACTCTAGCATGAAAATGGAGGTTTCCTCCGCACTCGGCCCTCTAGATAGAAAATAGAGAGGTGAAATTTTTAAAACACATTATTATCACATGATAGTCTTTTGACGTAAAGAAGTGGTTGGGTTATTCATGGAACATTTAGGACATCAAGTAACCATAATGTTTAAGATAGAGTATGAATATCACTAGTGCTTATGTGTTGAATTTTTAGGTACTCACCATTACCAATCTAAAGGTTGTCGAACCTTGATAAGGCTCATACATATTGAATCTTACCAAGTCGGGTGTCACATGGTGTGAAGGACCGGTGTTAGGACACCAAGAGTAGGCATACGACACGAGTAAAGGAAATAGCCAAGACATTAGTAAAGGGTTAGAGAGGAAGGAACCGCATTTAGGAACAATGGACTATCATGTGGTTCCAAGAGGAACAAATCGACTTTGTTTTTGTGATCATTTGAGTGCTAAAAATTTCTATGGTCCGAACCGTAGTTATTATTACCAAAGAGATTAGGAAGTCTTCCACGTCCACACTCACAAAAGTGCATACCTTTTCATGGTAGCCATTAAAACGATCATTAAAGGGGCCATTAGTCGTATGAATAAGGTTGGCAATAAGTGGAGTTGACAATAAAGCGGTATTTGGTGTTAAAGGAGAAGATTTCAACGAGAGAATCATGGTTTAAAAACTCACTAAGTAAGAAACTCGTGGAGATTGATAAAGTTTATCGGTCCGACTCTTGTAGAGATTATAGTGACAATGTCTTTAAATTCACTAGAGAGGCCCTTGAAGACATATAGATTGAAATCAATAGAAAAAGGGGGATGGCCTGTTGTAGTGAATTCATCATTGTGAGGTTTGCCACGGTTTAAATACTAGGACACTAGCTCGTTTTGGTCATGTCAAAGCTTTGGGATTGCAAGGTTCGTGGTCATGATGCTCGGTGCTAGATGGAGATGAAAGGGCTCTCTCAAACACAAAGCACACCCCTAAAGAGGTGGTGTAATCAATAACCATAGGGAACACATCAATTGAGAGGGAGGAGATAATAGTGCTCATGAGTAATTGATCTTGTAAAATCCAAGCCAAATTTGAAGAGTCGACTCGTGTCATCCCAAATTCGGTGTGCTCGTGAATAATTGGTCCCGTTGAATCTAAGATACAAGTGAGGGGTCTACCGTGTTACCCCGCATTTAGTGACGAGTAAAGTGTTTCGGAGGGTAAGGGTGTGAGCCATCAATATAACCGAAAAGGCCTTAGTCTAGGATGAAAGGTTTCATTTGTACACATCATACTATAAAGTTTGTTTGGGTAAGTGGGAGAAAGATGAAATGATGGGCATTAATAGTGAATTGACTCATTAGGGTGGGAGAAGAGATGGTTTGTGTTGTAGTAGCAGCAGTGGGGGAAGAAGTATTGCTAGGGAGGCCATTTGTTGTTAAAGGAAATCAACATTGATGCATATAATTGCTCTAATACCAACTTAGTTTGACGAGAGAAGTCTTGATGAATATAATTTCATTCATACTTTACGTAAGATTTGATTTTCTCTTTTATAGTATTATAAGTTATTTAACTATAGGACGCTATGAGATAAATATGCATAACTTCTATCAAGCTATAGCTTTTTCCAAGTAAAACAACTTCTTGTTGAGAAGAGTTGTAGAACCATCCGTGTCTTGTGCTACAAGAGATGTTGCTATATCCGTAGTTTTGTCTTGTAGAGAGGAAGGAGTTAGCGTCGCTAGTGGATCCTTGGCTTAATAGACACATATTTGACAATATTCTGAATTGCAAAGCATCAACTATTTCATAATTATACCAATGTGGAAACTTTTTTTATTTTGTTTGCACATTTATGAAAAAAAAATTGCTTAAATTGTTTATAGCAATTTCATAATTTGAGTTTTATATGCTGAAAAAATGTTAAGTACAATTCAAAATGCTTGAGAAAAACAATAAAAAGAATAATTGTTGCGTTGCCGTAGATTTTTATGGATGTTTAACTTTAGTAAGATCTCGTAGTATTTTTTGTATATAATAGATTTTTTAAAATATTTTTTATTAAGGTAACTTTTACTATTGTTAAGTAATTTTATTTATCTAATTTTTTTTACGAATTTCATTTAGATTATCATTCCTCCTAAGCTAAATCTCCGGCTCCATCACTTACTATGGTTTTGTGAAGAGAGTACTTGTCATAGTAATTAGCGTAAAGAAAGTATGGATTAGGTTAAGATAAGCTCATTTCGTTATCACCCAAATATTGGTATATACACGGTCCGCTTCAGTTAGCTTGTGATTTGTGACCGTTTAATAGCAAACATTGCCCCCAAACTACTACAATTCAGCAATTTCAAACATTCATTATCAATTTGGATTAATTAGATTCCAAACCTTTTTTTTTTTTTTTGACAAATGTGATTCTTATCCGTTATCTTTAATAGTCAAAAGGTTAACTATTAACGGTAAACTCTTTGACAATTAACATTTCAATTTTTTTTTAATAATTAATTTAGTCAAAATATGATCTACATAAGGTTGCATAGTGGTTATTCGTTATATTTTAAAATTAATAACACTAATAAAAAATTGAAAGTACAAATAATCAAATAAAAATATAAAAATATATATATATATATATAAATAAATAAATAGAAGTACAAACTCTCGATTAGGATTAAAATAAAATGTTCATACTTATGTAGTGAACAGATCGACAAGCTAATGTGTCAATTTAATTGTTATGTCAATATAAATTTAACAAAAATACTTTATTAGAAAAAAAATTACACTAATAACAATCTAGTTAATATTAGATTTAAAATTTTTTTTATTTATAATATAATCAATTTAATGGTTATGATGGCATGAATTTAACAAAAAATACTTGATTAGAAAAAAAATGAAAATTTATATTAAGAACAATCTAATTAATACTATATTTAAATATTTTATTTTATTTTTAATCTAGTCAATCTTTTGTCTGTTAAACGTAACAAATAACGAACACATTTATCAAAAAAATAATAATTTGAAGTCTAGTTAATCCAAACTGATAATAAAGATTTCAAATTACGAAACCGTAGTAATTTAAAGACAATTTTTGCCAATTGAACCGATTAGTGACCCATGGAGTTTTGTCAAAGCAACCCTACCCATTTTCAATCTCAATCAGTACTCGTCCGCAGCCATATTTTTTTAGTGTTTTTTTTTTAAAAAAAATAAATAAATAATGTCAGCTTCATCCACACAAAACCGAGTAAATTATAAATTAGTCCTTTTTATTTTGAGAAATAAATTAATTAGTCTCTTTTATTTTAAAATTAATTATTTATTCCTCATATTTTTAAATCTAACTTAGTGCTTTTGCTTTTTTTAATTTATTTTAATTTTTTTAAATGAAAAAATTGATGAAAACAATAATTTTATAAAATAAAAATAATATTAAATTAAGCATCGTCAACACTAATCAATGAACTAAATAATAATTATTAAAATAAAAAAAACTAATTAATTCACTTCTTAAAACTAGAGGGGTTAATTTATCATTTGCTCCACAAAATCGAAACTTAAAATTGATTTAATGAAAAATCCAAGGCAATTATTGATGATCTCAACCAAATCAGCCAACCAGAAGCAACAAGTCATCCACTTAATGGTCCACCTGTGATGCAACCAACAAGTGCCGGTTTGTGCATGAGAAAGCACGGCACTCCCACAACCTAATCTCTATGTCTATCATATCATTGATCTTCTGGCTCTCGGTTTTTCCAATCATTTGAATTTTTTTAAGTACAACTTCATTTTTGTCCCGATAGATTCATCATTGATCCATATCTATCCCTATAGTTTACAATGTTATCCTTCTAGTTTTTGTAAAGTTCCAATGTTATCCTAGATTATTAATAGCCTACTTTTTTAATTTAGTCTTTGAATTTGTTTAGGTTTGTAAAAGTTTTAGTGAGATATTAAAGAACTTTGAGCCGAGAAAAAATAAAAAATGAAAAAAGAGAGGTTTTTTTTTATCAAAGAGCTTCAAATCCTAACAGATTAGTTATGCTAGGAGCATTGAGTGTGTGAATTAAAAAAAAAAAAGATGAGATTTTTTTGTTAGTTATTTGTTAATAATTGGAAAAACTAAAACTTTTCGAAACTATAAGGGTAACATTAGGTAATTTTAGATTAGAGAGTAGAAATGGAAGGTTAATAAATCTAGAAGGGAAAAAAATATAGTAGTACCCCACACTCAACAGCACTTGTTTTTTTTTCAAAAAAAAAATACCATAATTGGCATTTAATATACTGTTGGAATTTATTTCTGTGTATTTATTTGTTCATTCACAAACCATTTTAAAATATTCACACATTAATTATTGACTTAACACGTAATTTTAGTTAACAAATGTTTCTTGACACTAATTAACTAAAGGGTTTTATGCAAATTGTGAAACCCTGTAGAATTCAAATTTTTTTATTGAGATTCTAAATTTTTTTTTTTTGTCTAATTTAAGAGTTTTACTCTTATATTATTGTTTCGGACCCTAATCAATGACAATTTGTCATGTAAGCACACGTGAATGACATTTTGTCATGTCATCAATTCAATTACTTAATTTAGGTCCATCATGATACGTGACAAGTTATTATTTATTAGATCTTATTATGTATGCTTACGTGGCACAGTAGGATCTAGAACAACAACAAGATAAGAATAAAACTCTTAAATTGAATTAAAAAAAACTTATGATCTCAATCAAAAAATTCAAATTGTACAAGATCTTGATACATGCAAAACCCATTAACTAGACCCTATATCAAAATGTAATAAAAAAAAATTAATCATTTTTCATTCTTCACAGGCAATAGCTAGTATTCAATTCTTATTCAAAATCAGGAAATTGAACTACGAATGACATACAGAAAAAAATAAAAAAATACAAAATTAATGTCACAATCAGCAAATTGGTGGTAGTTTGATGCTTATAGGTTTGTTTCCAGACAATCGCATCTTCCTTTAGTGGAAAACAAGTTGTGAGAAGAAAAAGGAAATTTTCTTTTCAACAACTTGCGTTGCAACAATCCAAGTTGAATCAACGACCCCCGTCAACATGCTTTTTAGAGCAGCAGGATAAGATCTTGTAAAAGTGATCATGCTTCCTAATCCTAGTTGAATCAGCAAAAGGGTCCCACCGTCACCACAAGGATCTGGAAGACAGAAGAGAGAACACTTAAATCTAGAAACAAAAGACTTGTCGTCCCAACTTTCCCAGAACCAGACTACATCAAAATGTTGTGGGCCTCTCTTATAACCAAGTTGCAAGATGTTTCGATCAGGACTTACAACAACCGACCAACAAATCAACTCCAACCATAATTTCAAACCAAGCTCCATCCATGATTCCGAATAATTCCGTCCATAATTTCAAATAACAAATCAACTGTTATATAATTCGCCGATCGCTATTTAACGAATTTAGAGATATTCTTTTCAGTTATTTATTGTTATAAAAAAATGTAATGATATTTATTATACAATAGATAACGTCTTGATCATTATTTTATTATCATAATAAATAAATTATTATTTTATTATTATAATAAATAACGATTCATAATCACTAGTTATTTTACTGTTATAACAAATTATGACTCAGCAATCATAATAAGTCATAAGTCATGATCTGCAATTACGGATGACAATAATTTTTACAACATTTGTGATTTAAAATTATAACTCCAACCACACCTACTTCAACTAGAATAATCATTTTTCTTCATACCTTTCTCCTTCAATTCTTTTATCTCCCCTAATTTAACAACCACCACCCACTTATTATGTCTCTCTGTTACCAAACCTTGAACCAGGAAGCTACTGCTTATTCTGTCCACTCATGAAATATATTTCTTTTTCAAGAGGTTGTCCAGTCACACATTGTTACAAACCAGGCACAAACTCATTTCAATAATGATGTTGATGCTCCATATTTTACTCTTCTCCAAAATTATATGCAGCACAATAATTTGGATGTCATTTGCCCACACCCGCACAAACTGATACACAAGAACTTTGTAAACGGATTTGTCCCACAAACCGGCGATCACAGCAAGACAGAGAAGACTTTCCCAAAAGTTCTCCAAAATTTCCACTCAAAAGTAAATGTGACTTGTTTAAAGGGAAACAGCAGGATTACAGATGATGATGCTAAACAAACTCCAGCCAACAAATATTTATCTCTATCACTAAATATATAAAATTAAATTTCCAAGGAAATCAGGGAGCAAGAATGGAAAACACAGAAGAAAACATTGAATCAATCTCTGTCTCGAAGAACATTGCTGAATAGAAAAAACAGAGTAAAATATAGCCTCCAATGAACGAGAAGTGCTTAAGTTTCATACATCCATAAAACAACACATCCATAATGTTTCCCAGTCTTGCCAGTATCCGTGCATATTTGCATGAAATTCAGCACTCAACAAACAAAAAAACACAAAAAGAGATAAAAAGATAGGGGGAAAGAGGAAAATGAAATGAAAGATGCTACAGAACTTGTTATATACATTTCACACACTAGTTTTAGTGAGTAGTAGTAGAGATAAGATTAAAAGAAGCAAAGTCATAGCAGTGAACTTTATGTACAACATAAAATGGCTAGTAGGTATGGTTGGCATAGTAAAGGAAACAAGTCTGCAATTTCCAATCTCAGGTAACTGTTCGGTTAGCATGCATGTCGATACAGCTTTACCGCTGCATATAGCAATGCTAACCAAGCAGTTATGCATCTCAATAATGCTCAGGTAAACAAAAAGTATATACAAAGTATAGCAAAACCTATCTATAGTTCTTCAGACCATCCCTCCCTTTGTCTGCGCATTCGAGCTGCCCATGACATGCTCCCACCAGCATCCATGTTCGTGCTTCTTCTCTTCAGCTCTGATAGCTGAGACTGCCAGCGATTCTTCCACACAGTTCTCTCTTCCATTTCCTGATTGCAAAAAGAACCCCAATAAGCATCAAGTGATAACATGGAACAACAGCCTAAAACCCAAACTAATCTACCGTTAGTGCTTTACTTAATTACATCAGTGCCCAAATAACAAAGGTAAAGGGCAAGCACAAAAGATTGACTCTGTCATCTATCCTATGTACAACTTCACTATCTACCAAAATCAAAGTGATCTATCCTCATTAAGATTCAAAATCATTCAATCAAACAATGAAATTTACAAAACCGGCAAAAAAAAAATGTCACGAATGTTCAGTGAAGACCTAAACAGAAAAGAATTGGAGAAATTAAAACTTGATTCTCTGCTTCTTTATTAAACAATACCAACACAAAGCAAGTTTCTACTCAACTCTGTCAACATATAAACAACAATTGCTAAAAAAATAATAATACTACTGGAAAAGTCCCCTCCTTTATTCTTTGGCAAAAGTTCTTGATCAAATTTCATATCTCTCTAGGCCATCTAGCACAAACTAACCAATAATTAAACAACAAACAAAAACACCAAAAACCCAATATAACAACAAACTTCATAAAAAGAAAAACCCATCTATCCAGATTGAAATACACCAAATTAACCCCAAAAGGACTAATAATCTTATACAAAAAAAGATTGAAAAAGGAACATCAAAACCCAATTCCATCCCCAAATGATGGAAAAAAAAAAAAAAAAACCAACACATATCCACATCAAATCAGACCGCAAACGAAACTAAAAACACAAAAACTTGACTAAAAAACTGTATACAGAGATAATATATATATATATATATATATATATATGAAAAAAGAAATTTACCTCATCATTTTGATGTGGGTATCGTTTCCTAGAAGAGAAAGCCAAATGAAGACCTCTAGCCATATCACGATCATAAATCTCTCTACTTCTAGGGTCCGATAAAGTCTCATAAGCCTCTTGAACCCGAATAAACCTTTGGGTATACTCTTCAACCTGACCCGGTGGTGAAACATCCGGATGGTACTTTCTTGCCAATTGCTTATACGCTTGCTTTATATCAGGCAATTTTCCAGATTCTGGTATGCTCAGTAACTCATAAAAGCTCATCTGACCCAGTTCTGAGGTGAGTTTTGCATTGATTGTGGCTTTGGATCTGAAAGACCCGATTGGGATTCTTGTAGCGGGTTTAACCCGGAGAATTGGGTTCGGGTCGTACTTCAATTGGGATGGATGGAAGCGAGTGGTTTCGCTTCCTGGGATCATTAATCCATAGCAACGCATCTCTATCTCTCTCTCTCCTCCAAGCCTGTGTTATGTGTTTCTCTGCGCTGCAAAAGAAATTTTTTTGGTCAGTTTTATAGGTGAGTTTTATTATTTTATTTTTTAAGGTTTGGTTTTGTGTTGTTTTGATTTGGAGTAAGTTATAACTTAGTCCTTATAGTTTACCAAAACAACTTAAGTCCTTATAGTTTTAATATTTGATATCTATAGTTTCAAATTTGTTTTAATTTAGTCCCTCTTAAACTTCAGGTTGTTCTCCAGTTTATTTAATTTAACCTGGTGGTATTGTACTCGCATTTCCTATATAAGCATAGGAAAAAAATACATCATAAAAAATCAGCTATGAATCTCATCTTGTAAGAGATAGAAATATAACATTGAATATCATAGATGACTCCTTATATACTACAAAAAAAAATATAAATATTTAAATAAGTAACGAGTTTTATATGTGAGTGGTTTTTAAGTACTTTTGAAATGCTTAATTTAAAATTTTTTTAAAATGTATTTTTTTCTCATCCTACCTATTTTTATTCTCCTTTTTCTATTTTTCAAAAAATAAAAAAAAAGATAAATTGATGAAAAGAGTTATTATATAGTTTTTGAAACTATAAGGACTCCTTAATTAGTTTCATTAAACTATAGTGGCTAAGTTTTATTTTGTATGTTTTGGGTTTTGTTTTTTCCTTATCTTTTTATCTGACGGTGGGCTCATGTATCTGTCCGTTTGTTGGATGGTTTAGGGCGAGCCGGTTTAAGATAGAGGAAGGACAGTTGGTGTCTGCTATTTAAGGAGAAAAGGTGGTTTTGACTATTGAGGGATGACAAGTCTCCATGGAAAAATGGTTGATTTTCCTTTCTTTTTTTTTTTTCTTTTTTAGTTTCTAGTAATGGTGTATTGCTTAAAGAAAATAATAATTCAGAGTTAGAAATTTTAATTTCCTTCTACTGAAATATTAACAATTTTATATTCATTGACATTCTAATTTGTGGACTTTATTTTCAAGAAAAAAATAAAAAATAGAATGAATTTTCAACATATATTTTTTAAAGTAAACCAAGAGTGGATACCAAGCAATGCGTAATGATCTTTGCAATCAAAACTTTGAGAAACATGCGAAACCATGGAATTATTGTTGACAAATATAACTCGTTCAAATTTTTTTTATATCCTATCAATTTGTCAATCATCCTTTTTTGACTTATTAGGCAGGTGATGAGGTTTTCTGTGTTCTTTATTTTTTTGAGTTCAAATCCTGAAACTAATATTTAAGTTCTGTTCGACTATTAAAAAATAAAAAAAAAGTCATGGAATAAAAATATAAGGATTGAAATGAAAATTTAGAAATCAGAATGATATTTTTCATTCAAATATTATAGTTAGAATAGTAATAAGAAATTGAAACAAAATTTAAAATTTTCAATAATTAATTTTTTAGATAAATACGAATGATGATTTAAAAAATAATTTTATGAATTATGATAATAATAAAAATAATAGAGATTATTGTAGTTGTGGTGGAGGAGAAAAAGGTGGTAATGGTAGTAATAATAGTATAGTAATAGTATATTTAAAAAAAAAATGAATACTCCACCATGAGTGGGGCAATAGAAGAAGAGCCGTTGTTATGGTTGTATAACAAAAATAATGATAGTAGTGAAAAAAATAATAGCTTAATAATTAAAAAAAATAAGATATTTTTTATCATCGCCTTCAATGGGGTGATGTAGGTGGTGGAGATTGTGATGGTAATAAAAATTATTGATGAACAATAAATTAAATAAAAATAATGTATTACTATTTTGAAAAAAAAATCTTATTCTTATTGCTTATTTTTATTCACACCTTCCTTTATGTAAATAAAGCTATATTTAATTTTTATTCTTATTTTACTTTATTTTTTTCAATCAAACACTTATAAAATAGAAATAAAATTTTTGTTCTCATTCTCATCATTTCATTCTTTGTCACCAATAAACACTTTAAAGAATTTTATTCCTTTAAATTCATAGAGCTAATATAAAATGTGTATTCTTAAAATAGCTTAAAAAGAAAATTTAGCCTTAATAGACACATAACTTGACCCAATGATATTTAGTTAAATTAAAAAAAAAAAAACACCATTCTTTAGCCTAAAATAAAATCATTTTCTTATGTGTGCACATTGATTTGAAATAACATAAACTTGCTTAAACAACAAAGCTTATTGAATTAGTTGTGGGGCACAAAATTGAACAACACCAAAGATATAAATCCCATCTTTGGATTAGGATTCTTTTATATTCCTAATAAACACTATGAATTATGTTTCAAATCTCATCTTTGATTTTAAATTCAATGATTGTTTTACAATAAGGAAGTAAGTTGTTTCTAATTTTATCATACATTAAAACATAATTATTTAATTTAGATTCAATTATATAGATTTAATGGATTTCCTTAACTCGAGAGGATCTCAATCACAAAACTTTGACCCTGGATTTTTGTATGTATATATATAACTCACCATTGAAGTTAGAATCTAGGGTAAATTATAATCACCTCTTATAATAACCTCTTAGATATATTATGAAACTAAAAAAATCATCTAAAATTTTGAAAATTTAACAAAAAAAATCCTCCACGTTTAAGAAAATATTAGTGAAACCTCATTTTATACCAAAAATACCTTTAATTACTATTTAAAAAAGATTGTTAAAGTAAAAACTTTTAGAAAATGGAGAAAGAATATAAAATGCTCTGCAACCCCGGACATAACATTTAAAATAAGTTATGGAATATTAGTTTTTAAAAATTGTTTATTTCAATGGTTTTGTAAATAAATGATTCAATTTTATTTTACCTCGTTACAACATATAAGTGCTTGGTTTAAATGGAATATAGAGTTTAGAAAACTATAGACATATTGATGTATATATGAAAAGTGAAAAGGTGTAATTTTTTAAAATATTAAATAATTATCATATCGAATTAATTTTTTATAGAAAGAGTAGAGTAGCCTCAAAACTTTATAAACTTGGTCACAAAGTTTGTTATTTTCTCAGTCCACCAATTATTATTTATCTACCAAGGATTTTGGTCATTATAAATAGATGAGTAGATGCATGATTTTACGATGTGCAAAACATAAAGATTAAGATGTTTTCTTTGAGTGTGAGCCTAGGCGTCTTGCTTTAGAATTGGATTTTGAGTATAAAAACTACAATCATAATATTCTTATACTAACATTCTTTCATAGTAAAAATCACTCTTGGATTTGTGGAGTACTTAGAATTTTACCAAATTTTGTTAAATCATGTTTGTCCACTATTTCTTCATCTTTGTTATTTTTCTTTCTATTGAATTAGATTGTTCGTGGTGGTATGTTGGATCTTAAGTCCTTAATTTATCAACAAATTGGTATCAAAGCTTTATTTTTGGGAGATTTGACTTTTGATCATGAATAATCACTACAAAAAATCTGTAAACTAATGATGGAAATCAATGACGGGCAACATGTTGTCTTTAAACAACAACCGATTAGCAAATGAGTGATGACTTTCATCCATTTGGGGATGTTGGTGATGAAAAACCAAATCATCTGCGATGGAAACTCAACGATGAAAAACTTCGTCATTAAATAATGCGATAAATTTTAAATGATTATTTTAGTAACGGATTATTAACTAAATTGCAATGACATTCAGAAATGGATCATTATTTTTTTCGCTAATGTTGGATCCTTTTTTAGATCTTATTAGTTATAAAATATTTTATAACTAATTCTTTTAATTTGTCATAAATTCATGATGGAACATGTTCGTCGCTAAAAATTCCCATATCAACAACGTATCATGTCAATCATTAATATGTGAAAAAAAAAACATTGAGTTCAAATTTAAAATCAAAACCAAACATTTATTTTCGTTGTTGATTTACAATGAAACCGACAACATAACGACGAAATGTGGTAGTCGCCGAAAGGCTTAAAATTTGAAGTTCAAATTAGCGACGAACACTTATATTCGTCGCCGATTGTTAAAGTTGAATCCCTAAATTGTCATAATCCCCTTTCTTCCTAATTTTCTTCTTCCTTCTCCCTTTCCACCTCTCACCTCATCCTTCTCCAAGCAAGGACGGTACCTACAAAACCCCTAAAACACCTCACAAATCCTTCTCCTCCACCATTCGAGCATTCCCTAGCCATTCCAGTCGTCTCTCTCTCCTCCCAAGACAATCTCAATCTTATATATATATATATATATAGAAAGAGAAGCCTCCAATCGACTCCAATAAGCGAGTGGGAGTAAGTAAAATTAATATATAGTATTGAAAAATTAATGTTATTGTTGTCGATATATAGCTATCCTTGGATTATAATAATAAATTCAAGTAGACTATGGTTTCGATGGCATGTTGTTATCCAAAAGTATGGTTTAAAAAGAGATGGAATTGTGTAATTTAACATTTCCATTTGAAAGAAAGCTATAGTAGATAAAATATTATCTATTCTATTTTTTGTACAAGTCATAGTTTTAACATCTTTATTCGGGTAACATTAGCAATCCTAGCATTTGGGTTTCATTTTAGCTAGTTTATGACTATTTTTCATTTCAACCCCAAACAATTTCCAAGCAAGAAAGACATTCTTTTTTTTGTTATGGGTCCAACATATCCATAGTGAATGTCAATAATGCAATCAATTGTAGTAACATCTCACAAGAAAAAAAATCAGCATAATGATAGTTTCTAAATAGTTTCGAACTATTAAAAAATCTCAAAAACTACCATAAAATTTTAAATTTAACTACTACTAATTTTAAATTTTAATTAATAAACCTAATCTCGATGCTTGTAAACGTAACCTTGTAATCATCTCGGGATACTTAAAAAAACCTTCAACTTTCTTATCATCTTGACCAATAATACTTGCTGCTCTAACCAATTCAACTAGAGAAAGTCCTTTAAGGTTTGCTAAAGTTTCAAGCACTTTGTTTCTTTTTTCACTCATAATAGATGT